AAATCATCACCGTTCGGTGTGACTCGCAACAGAGAGAAGTGTTTATGCGGCCTCGGTACAGAGCGAGAGGTTCTCGATAGAAGCGAATTTTTGTTTTTTCAAGGACATGAGTTAGCTCCAACATAACTTAGACCGCAAAACTAGACGAACTTGAGAAATGGAAATTTTCCTCCCTCAGGACATTATATATTTTAAGCCTAGTATATCAAAGAACACTCGGCGCGGTTTTTGATCCGAGAGTTTACTAAAGCTGCAACAAGAAGGTCTCTCAATTACACAAGCCCAGCACTCCATTCCAGAACCTCAGAGAAGGCTTTCTTCTCTTTCGCTTGTTAAGAATGAAACTTGAAGCACAGGAGCGCTGATCAACCTTCCTATGTAACGTGTCACTTGTTCGTCTTGCAACATCACAGGGGGTGACATAGAGAATATTGGAACCACAGAAGCCGCGCGTTTTAAATAGAAAGAACACTTGTCGTTAGCAGCCTGATGGTTCCGTTATGACATACTTTAGACGCTCACAGAAGAGGAAGGCGTTTTGCTAATAGCTATGTAGTTTCATTTACACTACATCAATTTATCATGAAATTGCAATCCGACGGAGTTACGGCACTCCACGGCGAGGCACGAAAGCGATGCAGTGCTTCACTAGTTCTGCCACAGCTTTGCTCATTATTGACGCCTGTACTTACGACCCCACCCCCTCTGCCTTCACGCAACATACGACCCCTTCGTCGCGATTTCCTCGAAGCACTTGTGGACCGTGGCTCCCCCCTTCCCCGCTCACCCGTTCACTCACAAAGATTGACTGTAACAGGGACAGGAGGAGACAGGTGCAAACGCATTAATTGCAACAGCGCTAGGCATCTTACCAACGGAGATAAACTCATTGTTAAAGCACGTTATAACAAATCATGAGTTGTTCGGTTTGACGTGAGGAGTGTATCCTCTACTAGCAAAGGGTCTGAATTACAAGTGCCAATGATTGAACCAATTAAAGATAAGTTTATGATAAATCGAACGTTTGCTAACCCTTTTGGCACAATCACAGCCATTTTCTTTGCCTTTACTTCATTATTGGTGCAGTAGCCAATGTGAATATGCATGAGACGTGGACTACGGTAGAAGCATTGGGTACGCAATCGCACGGCGTGATTGGTGGTATTTTATATAACATCCTAAGTCGCTCAACCTTCTTCGCCAACCGCCTCCTAAATTTCGACGGCAGTCCTTTGGGGAAAATGTGTAAGGGTTTTCCGAGGAAAAGAATCGAGAAAAGTGGTTGGAAATTGGAAAATTTAGGAAGACGGTAGGTAGAATGGAAGATAGGGAAGGGGGGGGTGAGGGTCGTACCACAACAGGGAGTTTCTAGGGGAGGGGGGCGTACTTTGCAATGCTTTTCTCCAACGGCCCGACGTGCCCTGATCTCCGTAGATTTAGTAAAAGAAGGATTGTGTGCAGATAGCGAGAGTGAGCCAGTCACGGCGAATGTCTTACGTTGAATCTCGGTATTCATAACCTTCAGAACTTTATCCTGACTAATCGAATGACTTCCAGGAGGTGGTGCACAAGCGCGGACGACCGACGAGCTCGGCCAGTGAAGATCTGAAGAAAAGCGAAGAAGAACCGACACCGACAACACGAGTGGCAACGCGCAGTACGTCTCGAGCATCACAAAAGGACAGTGGTCGAGGGTCCAGTGCCGCCAATATGACCAAATTGGACATATCGCCATCTTGTACGGACGACTCCAAAGAGATAGGATCCCAAGAGATATCCCCTATTCCCAGCGAACAGGTGTGCTCGGAATCACCATCGTCTGAAGAGCGCAGAAGCACCGTGGGAGTCCAGTCATATGATTTGGAAATGCGAAAGCTATACCGTGAGGCAATAAAACGAATGATGAAAGAGAAGGTGAGAATCTAATCGTTCCTTGGATTTGTGTCGAAAATTTCAAAAATACCCTTTCAGCTGGCGTCTCTTCTGGAAGCCACGGTTGTGGACATGCAAGGGCTGCATATTGGACTCCGAGAAAGGCATGATCGGCGGCACAGTAAAGAGCGAAAGAACTTGTGGACAGTGAATTGGGATCAAGTTCGCAAAAGAAGAAGGAAAGAAGACGATCGCAAACGAGCCGTGGAGCGAACTGAGCGAAAAAGGGAGATTGTCCCAAAGAGCAAAGATAGGGATCATCCGAGAAGGGAACCACGTGAGAAGCACAATGACGCCGACATAACTCGACCAGAAACCCACACAGAACGACGGCCACGTAAGAGACGTAATGATAGTTTGGAGAAGGAGAAGGAAAAGGAAGAACCTAGAACGTGAGTTTATATTTCTTGGTTTTTAGATGCTCTTGAGGAGTCTGGGAGGAGTTCCAAAGCTGGAGAACTCCCCAAGTCAAATGGAAGTTTTTAGAAACCTTGTTGCTAGACAAAGGCGGATTAGTTGTTGGGTAGCGTTCATTCTTTGCAAACTCTAGAATCCGCGAAATGTGAGAATGGCCTCGGTTTTCATTTTCGAAGGATGGTCCTTATTGAAAGTGCGCCTATATGGGCACCTTCCTTTGAAAAGCCGCTATGCAGCCCCTGCTCAAAGTCGCGGAAGTCCGTTCTGCTAGGCGTATAAA